TGGGAACGTTCAATATTAGGTCAATCCATAAGTAATATTCACAGAGGGACACAAACAGCTCTTTCTGTTTCATTAAAGACTGTACCAAGGTACTAATTTTGATAAAAAAATATTAGAAAGAAAAATCAATTAGGCTAGAATATTTATCGAAAATTGGCTTCAAAGGCACAGAGATTTTAGGGAACATTTACCCTAGGTAGAGGCGGCTCGACACGCATCGAAATGGAATCCACGCAACGCGTGAATGGGACGGCACGCGGAGCCGCAAAGCCGTCAAACGGCGCGAAGGAAGCCGGGTTGCAAGGTGTATAAATATGATGGAGCTAGCGATATGGTAGCCAAGAGTGTTGCCGATCGTGCGGCATGGAGCTCCCGAAGCCGAGCACCAGGAGTACTTTTGTCTCTCGCCGACAACGGTTACCCACGTAACTCACGTCACCGGGCCAGCGATTAGATCTTCGACGTTCTTTCATTTTTTTCTCCCCTCGTCGCGTCGCGCTTCTCTACAACTGGGAAACACCGACATAGGTATTCGTATGCCACGTCCATCGCCCGAGCTCGTAGATATTCATAAACGATCGACGGCCTCGTAACGCATCGACAACGAGCACCTTATTATTCCCGCCTCTATAAAATTCGAGCTCGCATTTTAGAGACCGTCGTTCGAAAGACAAGACGCGGGCTTCCGTGAATGGGAATCGAATCACCGGCCGACAAGAGAGAAATTATACGAGCCGATTGGATGGAAAAGCGTACGCTGAGGAATGAAGTCCCACGGATATACAATGGCGGACGTACGCTTACGGGCAGTATTAAAATATTGAAGTTCGTGACAGATCGTACCGAAATTATATAAAATAGAACCCGAGATGTTGGACAGAACGTCATTACAACGTGAAAATAAGTATGTTATCAACGGATATTAATGGAAATAGGAACTTTTAGTTTCGTCAATTGCACAATTAAACAGAGTATCACACTGCCTACGACGTATTCTCGGAAGTCGAACGTTACACGAAATACCAAAGTGACTGAAATTATCCATACAAGTCGATAACTGTCAAAGTTCGCGATCCTCGAACGAGAATAATGAAACGTTATGGGTCATCAAGGAAATTTAGTGACTTTCGGACTCGCTGATTCCTATCTCAATCGTCGAAGCTTATCTCGAGGGAGTCACAGGTGTAATTAGCTGCGGCTTGTACACCGATTGTAAAAATACTGCTACTGCCTCAACGAGCACACTTATACAATATTAATTTAGTAAACCCAATTAGTTAATTGAGGATGGTATGGTCGTATCGTAAGCCAACGATACGTCCAATCGTCTTGGTTTAAATGTACCCCGAGGATCGCGTTTCGAGTACAAACTTATACGGGCCAAAGTGTTTTGGAGCGCATTTTCGCATTAACAAGCAAATGTGCGACTCGCGAGTGTGTAACGATAACATTAACTGCGGTAATCGACATAATTATCACGGACGTTATCAATTTCATTAGTTTCTTCTCGGGTAACAGGGAACAGGGGCCGTGGTAGCATTAGCGCGGCGACGATTATCGCGTTTCGAACGACCATTCCCGATGGAGTTCGCGGTAAGAAATGCGAGTGAATTTCGTAGTTGGGCTTCCACTCTTTTCACGGTCCTTGGATAGCCGAGAGGCGCTTTCTTGCGGAACCACGAATATCGTCGGCTCGTGCAGCCTGGTGTTTTGCTCTTTAGGAATCATTAGCCTCGACTTTCGCGGCTAATTCAAATTGCGATTCTCTGCCAGCCTTGTGCTCCTCCTCATCAAAATACCGGACACATGGCAGAGCCGCACCGAGGAACCGACAAAAAGGTCGAATTAACTTTTACTGCGGGAAAAAGCACGCCAGGTCGTTTTGCGCGCGGCGTGCCGTCTCTGTGAACCAGTTGCGGCGACGTCCACCAGTCCCCAGAGGCCACACTCTTTCTCGGTATTTCCGCCAGCACGTGCACCGGAATGTTCCATTGTAGTCGTTTTACCAGCGAAAAGCGTACGCGCAACTTTGAATGTTAAATTAGCTCACGGGGGGATTGCGTTTTTAGCAGAACAGCTTTACCCCGTCCTAAATCGTAAGAGGGACCTTAAACGTTCAATAATCCTCTCGTTACCGCGGCATCGTTATTCCATCAGTGCCCCGACATCATTTCCCCATTTTACACGCCCGTTAATAGTCATTAATTTGCTTCTGTATCAGTAGAATTACCAACAAGGGTGCAACAAATTTGTCTCCGTCCGAGAATGGTTTAGAAAAGAGCAAAATTGAACTAATGAAAGAGATTTTTTTACAGAATGCTCTCTTACTGATACAGATACTGGTTCATCTTAGAATATTCATAAGATTCCTAATCAATATTATATAAAATTACTTGAAAAAACACAAAATAGCATACATTTCCCCGCTGACTATTTTATTTTTACTTGTTTTCAAATTTGGAATTCCAAATCCTTGCTCTAGAAGGTGTCGCTACGATAGCGTAAAAGCGTTTCCCTCTGGTAAGCGAAATGTGCAGCAAGATGCAGTCGCTGCTTTGCCTGACGCTTGCCAGAGGACGCCACAGAATTGTGTGAAGTGGTTGTGTTTTGTGGAGGGCGATGGATCGCCCTCTCGCTTCTGACCATTCTACGCTTATCCCCACCACAGAACATTGGTACTCACGCGTGGCACGCTTTCCACACGTGGATCGCGCGTTTCTCTCCTCGCTGGAACTCGGAGGAGCTCGGGTCCCCTCGTGAACCCTATGCCAACCACGTGTTTTGACTTTTTAAAGCAGACTCCCACGCGATCCGTTCTCAATGGTATGGTAAGAAGTCCTCGTCAAAAAATACATGTCGTGGCATAAAAACGAATTTGTCACTCGTACGTTGTAGGTAGAAAAATTGTTCAGTATTTTATAAAACGTTCAGCCATACGTAACATACAGATATGTACATAAAATGGTAATGAATGTGTATTCCGAAAATCATATAAGAAGGAGTACCCCCTTAATATATTGCCTCAACGTCCATCTCCTTTTAAACGTGTTTCCTCAGCCTTAAAGTCCATCCTACCCACGACTTGAAACGCTATTAAACTACTAATTTAACTAATAATCGTCGAAAGAGAGAAAAATTACATGCGGAGAACAGGATACGTAAAGAAATAAAAAATGGATCTACTAGGTATAAAAACTCATTTGCCAGCTCGTAACCTGGACAGTCAACGGGAAGATACCATTTTTTACAACTTTTCTCCGCAAATTATACGTAATACCACGGCATTTGTAATTTTGCTCGGTTATTACAATCAATTTTAGTGATTCCCATGCGGGCGTTGCGGCCCGCCATGTAGTCGCAGCCCATAAAACGCTTCAGCCAATCCAATGTAATTACCCTGACCGCCACGATTCTAGAGCATCGATACTGTAAAGCGCGCCGTAATTGCTTCGGAATTACGAAAAATAACGGTTGTTGAAGTTAGATCGTAAAATTGAGCTAACGAGAAGCGCGGCGAGCGGGCGTTCATCGCACGCTATAAAAAAGGGGGTCCGAGTGTGGCTAAACGCGACGGATATTCATCAAAGCACGGGTTATTACGTGTTTAATTTTCGACCACACACGTGGTTGCCCGTATTTCGAAGAAACAAGAGCGTGTAAAGCGAACAACAGCGTATACCATTATCAAAAGAACGATTACGACTTTCAATTGTAAAAATCGTAAAACATTCGATAGAAATGTGATAGAACGATAAATCTTGGAGGAAGTTGAAGTTGAAACGCTGCAGCATCATTTATTGTATCACTTGTAACTAAAAGTTACGTCATACAATTCATAACTAGGTATAATAGAATACGTAATATAGATTCCTATCCTTACATTAAAAGCCAGTAATCTTAATGAGTACCTTTATAATAGTAGGTTGTTCTCGTTTCGACTTCCATCTGTCCTTTTAAATATTATGTACCCTTGTGTTTTCGGCTATTGAAAAAGAATGTGAAGAAGGTCCGAGTAAAAGGGAATCATGTTTCTAATCTACTAAACCTTCCCTAGACACGGGAACGTTCAGTGTTAGAACAAAGAATCTGCTTGAAAAAATTGGAGCCAACGTTTTATCAGAGATCGGATACACCGATACTGATGTCAACTTGTGGTTTTCATCTATTTTCGGTACCCATGTTTGCGCCACGACATGGTCAACTACAGATTTTTAATTAGGCTAATAAATTAAAGGACAACAGGATAGTGTTTCAGATGCCATTCATAGGTATCCATTGCTTCTTTGTATTTTCTGGAAAAGTATCCCTTTGTTCTCTGGCTATCAGTTAGATCTTAGCACAGACGAAGTATACGAGTAGACCTTACACCTTATGAACTTTCGTGGGCCAAACAAATTTATTAAAAATGAAAAACTTAAGAAAAATCGACAGGTGCTTAAATTTTTAGGCAAAATTAAAAAATTTCAAATTGTTCTAAAAAAATTGTTTTCGGTTGCGGGGGTCAATTACAACCATTTTTGGTGAATAGACATACCCCCGAAATCCTACTCACTTGCGAGAAAAAAATTCGAGTAGGTGCTTAAATTTTTCGGCAAAATTAAAAAATTTCAAATCGTTCTGAAAAAATTGTTTTCGGTTACGGGGGTCAATTACAACCATTTTTGGTGAATAGATGTACCCCCGAAATCCTATTCACTTGCGAGAAAAAAATTCTTTACCGAAAATATGATGCGTGGCTAGAAATGTTTCCCCGAAATTTCATGCGTATGTTTAAAAAATCAACTTCTGGACGGATTAAAGCATTCAAGGTCTATACACTCTTAGATCGGACAATATAAATATCAGATTTTAGTTGTTTCGAGAGCGAGAAGGAAAGGTTTACATTCGCTTTCTTTCTCGAATTCCCGAAGCTGTCCGAAGCACAGGACTCACGTACACGTGGTTGAGTAGTACAGTGCGTAAGTGGAGGGGCAGTTTCCTCTGGGCACCGGTCTGCCGTCTGGTAACAGAACCTCTAATTCGTACAACACGCAGAAATATTTCTTACAACGTCTATTCTATGCCTTGTTTATTCTTTATCCAAGTTAATGAACCGTTATTTCGATTTTTGTGATAAATATTCATCATGAATATTTAAATGGCGCATTCTAGTTTTCTGTTCATGTCATCCGCTAATATTGTGAATTGACGGTACAGTACATATTTACAATTTTTGATGGGATTCTGAAGGAATGAGCATATGTCCAGTTGATCTGTAATTATTATAATCAAAAAGTTACGATGGAAAAATATATAAAGTTGTTAAAAGATCACGATATGGATTCTCAATTTATGGGCATAGTAGTTGCTGTAATAGTGATTATCCTAACTATAGGTAATTAAATATAGTATTTCTAGGTTATGATAACCTTATGTTTGCTGTATAGTATCAAGACCAATGATTATTATGTATTAAAAGTAATACGAAACGTATCAACAATCTATGGCTTACGCAACAAATATATTTTCCGATTATTTATTATCACATTATTCAAAATAACATCACAGTTTTTCTGTAGCAAGTACAACTAAAACGACATTTACTTAAAGCTATAAATAGATAACATACTTATAAATCATATGTACAAGATAAAATTCACAAACATCATTCAAATAACAAAGAACATTTTGTACGAAGCCACATGTATATTATTATTTAAACATTATTTATTGTTTTAAATCGCAAATGACATTGTGGAATCTGCAATATCAATATCTACTACTTTTATTGCATTTTATTTCTGTTTCTGTTTCTGTTTCTTAACAGAATGATGGTTTTTAATTATTTTCAGGTTTTATACAAATCTGTATTTGGGTATTTATTATTGTATTCATTAGAGAATTTAAAATATTTGTCATGTTTTGTGTTTTCTATTAGATTAATACTTTTAGAACATGTTGCACTGATACCATATTTGACCCCACAATGCCATTTATGTGCATATAAAATCACGACACCATACAAAGGTTAATATTGTTTATGAATTTCATAAGCAGTCTCTTAGAGTCATTTATCAAGTCCTATACACATTATGTTTATTTAGTTAAATTAAGTGTATATTATAATACCTACAGTAATTGTGGAACAATACAAAGATAGATATTAGTAATGAAACAAACATAATGTTATAGTTGTATATATAATACAAAAATAGGTACATTTTAAAGCAAGAACTGTCCTAAGTTGTGACCCAAATACCCATGAATTTAACTCTATAATACCATTTATCTGATATTGATACCATATAAGTTATAAACTTTTATTGCATTTCTTTCTTCAGTAATATTTGCCATATGGCGTAGAAAAAAGTCCATAGGAAACAGTGTACTGTTGACTGGACTCAGCGATGCTGGTAAAACATTACTATACGCGCGTTTACTTTATTCCAAATTTGTTAAAACGCATACATCTGTGAAAGAGAACACAGGAGATATCACGATTAACAATGTAAGTTTTTATAAATACAATGTATAAAACATACCAATGGCATGGGCCTTTAAATTGTTTTGTACATTTAGCGTGTGTTAAAAATTGTCGATATACCTGGATATGAGCGGCTACGCTATAAATATTTTGATCGATTCAAGTTATCTGCAAAAGGAATTGTCTATGTAATTGATTCGGTAACTGTCCAGAAAGACATTCGTGATGTAGCAGAGTAAGTAAATATAAGTGGCAGGTCATCACATTCTGAAACAAAAATGATGAAAAGCTTCAATTTTCAGGGTTTTATATAACTTACTATCTGACTCTGCTACACAAAAGAAACCTGTTCTTATATTGTGTAATAAACAAGATCAAACAATGGCAAAGGGTTCTACTGTTATAAAGACTTTACTTGAAAAAGAAATAAATTTATTACGTATGACAAAGACAAGTCAATTAGAAGCTACAGATGCATCGTCCAAAAACATATTTCTTGGTAAACATGGAAAAGATTTCGAATTTTCTCATTTAATCAGAAATATTGAATTTGCAGAATGCAGTGCATTTAACAAAGATCTTGACAATTCTGCTGACATCGAACAGTTAAACAGTTGGTTAAAGAAAATTACATAAAAATGTATAGTAATAACTTTTACAAATAAATTATTTGTTTCTAACTTTCTAAATTATGTTTTTATTCTCATACAATAAACAATATTTGTAGTGGATTTTTTACTCTTCCGTAACAATGTAATGCAACACACTTATAATTAAAATTTCATAAGAAACATTTTGGTCGATTTAATTAATATACACAATATACACCTCATTATTTATAATTTAATCATTAATCTTTATTTTGACAGCAAACTTTGATCAGTTAATATTTGATTAAATAAACGTTACAATTCAATTTTTAACATTTTCGTGTTAAAACCAATGTTTACATAAAAAATGTGTATAGTTAAATAATTAAATATTATAGACACTTTGTTATTCTTTACTATTATTTATATGCTTAGTGCATATTCGTTCTAACCTAGCAACAATGTTATACATTAGTTGTCAAAGTGTAACAGACTAAACTTATGTACACTTTTTAATTTTGCAATAATCGATGAATTTAAACATTAGCTATTTCTTTTTGTATATTATTAAATGTTAATAGTTCAAATGGCCAAATTTTTCCTTCACCTTTAGAAATCTCTTCTTCCGATGATCAATTATCGACGCTACTGCGCGAAAACAAGTAGTTCAAGTATTAACACGACGCGCAAATATATTATTTAAACATTTCTAACTCATAGGTTTTGAATAAAATGTATTTTACTTCTATCTTCTTCTGCAGACTACAAAGTATTTGTTTATTACTCAAAAGAACTTAATTTTGTACAGTATTTCACATTTATCAATTTATTCGAGTTGTATAGTAAAATAAAGAATTAATTTAAGCAGAAACTAATATAAAATAATAGATATAAATTAATGTAAGAATAAATTGTAGAACTGAAGCAAGTAACTTACAGTACAAATGTATTCTTTATAGATTCTATAATTCCATGCATTGCATTATATATTTTTCTAAATTCTATCTTTTACATTCATGTATTGAAAGATCATTGTATTTATTTTTTAAAGGTGATCAAATTCCTTTGAAAATAGAATTATTAATATTAATTATTGTTTATATAGTCTATATAGACTGACTGTCCACTGTAGGATAATGCCGTAAAATTATATGCTTTAAACTTTTATAAATCTTATAAGATTTGAATTGATAAATAAATTTGAACACTGAGAGAATCATGCAAGTACTTTTGAAAATTGCATTTTATTGAAATTTGATGGCTGCAAGAATAATTAGTATAACTATAAGAATAAGCAGTTCGTGTTTGAAAAAAAAACTAAAATTAAGAAAAGAATTAAATAACTTGAATTAAGATTCAGTGTGTAGAGATACACCTAATTTTTAGATTCAGCTTCAGATAATTTTCATGAAGTAAAGATAAAATGATCTGGGCAAGTAATCACTAAAATACCACGATACCGCGCGCCATCTTTCGTTGAAAGGGAACAAAATTTCAATGAGGAAGGGAGATAACCTCCAAGTTCATAAAATGCGTTTACACTACAGATACGTGTTAAATTATTTGTGGAATCATTCAGCGTGTGTGTTCGTTTTTATCAGTTTGTGATAGTATTATATACCATGTCGTCCGTAAAACCCGTCGCTCAGGATGTGAACTATATGATTGATATCGGAGGTAACGTTATCATTATGATTACTCCCTTTTTACAAAAATGAATTGTTTGTTGTGATTAATAACACAAATTTGAAAAACAAATATACATACATCCACTAACTTTTATTAACATCTTCCAAACGATCAGATAATTGATTATTGCAATTGTACACCTCGGTTGTGACACTTTCCAAACCTTGAAGAAGCACGTAAAAACAGGTTTCAATGCTGGATAATAAATCATCGTCAAAACACCTGTTATCGAATGTCTGTGCGTGTATATCATAACTTCTATATTGATAATATCAAATCTTGATATTTTAAATTACGATAATACTAGAATTGTGAACATTGAATTAAATCGATGCGCGAAATTTACATTATGAAACTTTCTTAGAATATTGGAGTACTGTCATGAGTGTCAGAGACGATTAAATCATAAAATTTTGTCAATATTGTAAACGAAGATAACGATTATTTAGATAAGACGATTTTTACGAAAATGTACAGCAAAACGCAATGCAGAGGAAAGAGTTTGGTAGACGCATTGCAGTAAAGTATAGCGCGATATTAGCAAATGCGTAAGAAGGGGTGATTGTTAATCAATCAGACAAGACAGTGCGCGATAAAGAAACCGGATTGACTCGCAGATACTTTTTGGTGCACGAATTTCCCCCCAAAATTAAAACGAAGTTTTGAATCGTTTCGAAATGTTATTTGAAACTAGAAGTTCTTGACAAATTTTTAAACCCTCGATATGTTTCGAAATACTATTAAGGTCCATTAAAAAAGTGTTATTCATTACTATTGTGATTCCTTCACTAGTCATCATTCAACAAAGTAAAGAAAAAATTCTCTTTATCGGAACGAATGGCGGTTAGAACTTTCAAGTCGATTCTGTTTTCGACGCGACTATAGATAGCGAATATAGTTGATGATTACTTTCTCTTACAGGTATTCGAATTAAATATAAAGATAAAAGCGAAACTTTTACCGAAGATCGTCTCGCGAGCAAGGAGCCTATTGGTCAATTCAAAGCATGGTTTGACGAAGCATGTAACGCCCCGCAAATTTTCGAGCCGAATGCTATGTTCCTTGCCACGGCTACTAGGTAATCGTAGATGACTTGCCTAGCCAACGAACGCGTGAAACAATTCGGAAAACTATTTTCTTACAGAGATGGGATTCCATCGGTGCGAGCTGTTTTGCTCAAAAGTTTTGGCACAGATGGATTCAAATTTTACACGAATTACGAGAGCAGAAAAGCTCGCGAACTTGTAAGTGTATAGTTTAGCGTATAGTAGGCGGAAGAGATACCGTGAACTTGTAGAAAAAACAAGATTTCAGTTTAATGAATTTGAGTGTCAGAAGTGAAGAGCTCTGAGATGAATTCTATAGTCTTTGTGGATACTACAGTTGGATCTGAACCAATTGACTGTTCAAGATCACTAAGGATTTATTCCTGCTATGGTAATACGCCAGAAAACCGTCCAATTGGTCCTGTAATGTTATGAGCTATCTTCTCTCTTAAGCCGTATACAGAACAAAGAGCTAAGACAGAGACAGAGAACCCGCGGTCTAAAAGCCGCATATTTGTTGAGGAAATTTCGTGAGATTTTAAAACGCTACCCATTCTTTACAAAAAATGATTTCCCTATATAATTGTTGAAAGATAAAATTAATTTTGTGTAAAAGTTAACACTGTTATCAATCTACCCATTGTTCTGTAGTCGCCATGTTGTCCTGTTTTTTGTTTGGTCTGATTAATTTATATTCAGGTAAGTATGTCTATAATTTCGACAAAACTTACTGTTTATAATATGCTATAAGTTTTCCCATCTCTGAGCTAAGGAAATCAGGCACGTATGCTTGGATTCACGTATACCAACGTACGTATGCCAAAATCCGAGCACACGTGTCTTCGATTGTCTTTGCTCTTTGATTTGTACGCGGATTTACGGCATTGCTATTTGAATCAAAATTTAAGACACAGAGAACGTTTTCCTACAAATTTATGCAAAGAAGGAGTTTACTATATCTATTTTAATCATACAGGCTTTGTATGGCACGAATGGAAACTATGTTTAGTTCATTTTCAGGCTGAGAACCCGAATGCAGCGCTGACGTTTTACTGGGAGCCTTTAAGACGAAGCGTAAGATATAACCTAACACTGACATTTGTCACTGTAGAGAGAAACAATTTAATCGTTAAATGAAATTATTAAATTACACAGGTGCGCATAGAAGGCAAAGTTGAGAAAACGTCAGTAGAAGACTCGGATCGTTACTTTCAAAGTCGGCCATACTCGAATCAGATAGGATCTATGGCTAGCAAACAGAGTGCAATAATCGCAAGTAGACAAACGCTCATCGTGAAAGAAAGGGAATTAACGGCTCAATTTCCGGAAGGACAAGTTAAAAGACCAAGCTGCTGGTAATTCATTCAACGAAATCATAACTTAATGTTATTATAAATTATCCGTAAGACCAATAATTTATTTTCAGGGGTGGTTATATCGTTATTCCACATTCCGTAGAATTTTGGCAAGGTCAAAGCGATCGTTTGCACGATAGAATTCGTTTCAGACGACCTAAACCTACCGAGAAAATCGATAACATTCTCGTGCATCAGGGAGACAACGGATGGGTTTATGAAAGATTATCTCCGTAAATATTAAAAAACTTATATGTATTCCGAATAGACATTAATATTACAGTATATTGTTAGATAGACAAAAAACGTAAGCGGGTGGGGTTAGGTATACTTCCTTGAAATTTTTAGAATTTCTCTTTGTAATCCTGAAATGTAAATACATATTGTTACTTGTTCCGAATATGTTCATAATTGTTGCTTGTTCCGAATAATATAAAAATGTGAAATAAAAAAAGATCACTGACAAGAGGATGACCTCAATTATATCATTTCGATTTTAACGATCTTTGGGATCATCTTCTTGCAAGTCGTTGCCTCCAATAATTAACTACGTATAATTAATTACCCTCTCGATTTTTCCACACTGTCTCAACATCGAAAAATCCATCTTCCTCTATAAGATTTTGAAATTGTCTCATTCCTCCCCCAACTCCAAAATAGTAACTTTTACCAGCAATGAACCTGAGGATAGCGCGCGACACGATGTTACTCTTAAACCTATAGTAACCTGATTCAATTTTACGACGTAATGATTATACTTGCCCAACGCCATCGAGTTTTAGTTTTTGTTTAAAAACTTCGTAAAGCTTTCTATGATTGTCAGGATTATAAATCGTTTCACTCGTGAAAATTAAATCGTATTGTGCAACCTCGTTCGTGGAATTCGAATCATTTAGTTTCGTAAATGACTCCCAGTCGCCACAAAAAAATTTACATCTCTTTGAAAGGCTTTCTCGATCCTCGAAATTTAGTAAAACGTTTGGGATCGTTACGGTTCTAATCACCTCTATATTCTACAAAACTGTTTGTTAATACGTGCTATTTTGGAAAGATCATTACAAATGCAAGCTGAACGATACGAACATAATCTTGAAAATGAACGATGGAATTGTTTAGAAGAGCGATCAGACCGATGATACCGGCACCACATCCTAAATCCAAGACAACTTTGTCTTGAAATTCGATATTACGTTCGAATACGTAATGACCTAGGTCGTAACTGCATTCCCAAATTTTTAAACCACCTTGATACAAGAATTCCAATGATTTTATTCGTTTTTTATTGCTGTTGTTCACTAACAATGATTTAAAAACCCTTAGAGATAGCGATTATAAGTCACCGAAATTTGTTTTCGTTGTCAGTAATTATTATCGCGTATAACAAGTATACTAATGTTATTGATATTGGTTATCAGTAATTAGAAACAAAAATTGTATTATTGGAAATAATAAAATATAACAGTTATTTTTCGTCCCTAGTTTTTTGAAAAAATTAATTACGTTCTAAGTACCTTCGTATATAGCAGGGATAAGGTCGGAATGTTGCGACTCTGCTGCTATAATATTTGTACAATTATTCTGTTTTAATTCGTCTGCAGCTCTCTCAGATCGAATTAACTTTAACTTGCAACCCGAAAATATTGTATTCTCGGTATAATCGTTAAGTTCGTATTGTTTTTTTATTTGAGATTCCGATATCTCAACATTCGAAGCAGGTATCCAATTGATCGTTAATTTTTTCCTATTGCTATCTTCCTCTGAAATAATTGTCCTAATTTGAGTTTGTATGACATTGTCGTTTAAAATATTAACTTTATTTAACTGCAAGAAAGATCTATACAAAATTTGAACAAGTTTATTCAAACGTCACAAATGCGAAAAAAATAATATAGCGCAGTATAACCTCAAAAATTTGATCCTCAACAATATTTATATATTGATCGACAACAAATAAAAAATACAAAAATACCTTTAGTCTCGTCATGTTTCGTAAATCCAAATTTGAACATCTTATTCCTAACAGTATTACACTTACGTTAAAAAAGAGCTACTAAGAAACAAATTAATTGAGGCTAAGCATGCAACTCCATGTAACATTGTTGAAGATAAGTCAGATTTCTACCAAAGATGACTTCTTGAATGCAGCGACCTCTAGATTCATTGATAAACATAATTAAAAATTAAATTTTCAAAATGTTCGTCCATTTCTAATATTATTTTTACAATGAACTAGCGTATATTTTTTATATGTACGAACAAAAAACTTGTATACTTTCTATAACGTTAAAATACCTTATCTGTCATTGCATGATATTTCCATGAATCCAAGACGTAATATATCTAGCAGCATTGTCATCTGTTTCCTTTAATCTAATCTTTTGGAACATGTATCAATCTGTATTTGCAAAATCATTTTGATAATAATGACAGTATCGTCTCTTTTATCGTATTATACATATATTAAAACTGTAATTTTATATTTAATTATTACATAAGTTCTTAATAATTATGTTGAATTGTAATTTTTGAAATATTACCTGTATTTTTGCATTTATTCAATTTATTTATCGTTTATTGGATTCAGATAAAAAATAACTTATATAATATATGTTATATGCACACAAAATAGCAATAGAGGGAATAATTATCGCATGTTACAACTAGGTAAAGAATACCCAGAACTATTGTTAAATACATTTTGCTTTGGAATATTTTTCTATTAATCATTGTAACGGTATGCATTTTGTGCGCCCAACGTAACGATGATAACAATAATCAACCAAGAAATTCATTTAAATTACAATGAACAATGAAACGATCAGATAGTAAACTTTTTAATAATTCCTACAGCATTGGTTATTAAAAAGAATCCTTGTATCGATTCATAGAAAATTGTGTAATATATTTATTATCGAATACACGTTTCTACTCGACATTAACAAACGCGTAATTATCGAATATTGTATCTTATCGTTAAACATTTTATAGTGAAAAGTTTCTACTATCTTTTGAAATTTTACACCAGTTACAGATTACAGATCAATCCTCATTGATCTTCTCAGATTCAAATCCCATTGTCGACTACGTAAATGAAATTTGTGTCGTGGGTTTGTTGTTCTCGTGATACAACGTTTCGAAAAGGAGAGAGGGTTAAAAGACCCAACGTGTACCTCTGAGGGGCTTCCCAGTACGTTCAATTTTTCGTTTAAAAGGCGATGTCGAATCACGATTCTCGTTCAGTTATAGTTTTCACGCGAGTTGTTACGGTGCTGGCGATCATGGGGTCGTTAATGTTTTTTCTAAGTGCAGTGTACGTTTTGACTGTACTTTTAAAGTTCGGAAACAGTACCGTCAGGTTGCCAATCACGTGGGAAGATTTTGAAAACGGCACCGGTAAGAAGTGATTCTTTGCTACGATTTGACAGAACCAAATTCACCGATTGCGTCAGTAACGTTACTTAAAAATAGTTTTCTGCTATAAATTAACATTTTTTCTATGAAGAAAAAAAACACAATGTTTTCGATATACGTGTCTAAATGTTAGAATTATTTCTAACGAACGCATTTCGAAAGCAGCATGAGTCAACTATCTTTGCTTATAATCTATCCAAGAGAGAGTGAAGTTTCCAAAAACTCTTGCATCATTTGTCCACTGGCAAAGATGAGCACATTTTATTCGAACAATTAAGCAAAGACTGTTGAATACTATATCGAAGATTAAATATAAAAATCGAATACACTAAGTTGTCACGCGTTTGCTACCCGCCTTTCGGAGTGGTTCCAGTGATTCTTCCATCGGCTGACTTGTTTCAATCGCGTACTCGTGGATTATCGTTTCACATATTCTGCGAAAGACTTTCTAAAAGTGTGAGTGTTGCCTGTTTAGATGGCCTAAGGATTCTAAGCAGGGAAGAATGGGGAGCCAGACCACCGGTAGCGCGGGAACCAATGGTAGTGACACCGACGCCTTTCGTCGTGATCCATCATGGAGGCATTGCTCAATACTGTTACGATCAGACGACGTGTTCAGCGATTGTCAGATCGTATCAGAATTTTCATATAGACGATCGAGGCTGGTACGACATCGGTTACAGCTTCGTTATCGGCGAAGATGGAAACGCCTACGAGGGTCGGGGCTGGGATTACATCGGAGCTCACGCGCCCCCTTACAACAATCAAAGCATCGGAATATGCGTTATCGGTGATTTCAGTAGTAGGTGTTTCATTATTTCGTTCTCTTAATCGTTCTAAAAAAGTAGGATCCTGAAACCTAGAAAACTGTGTCGGATTATCGAGCACGTTCTTTTCTATTTTCGACCTCAGCTTTGAATAAAAGTAACCGTGGTTGGAACGAAGGTCTTTAGTCGAAACGAGTGGCATTCGTTCCGATCGATTTTAGCCATCGCGGTACAAGGACTGTTTCATAAAAGTCGATTGTTTAAGGCTGAGTCTCCCATCTAACAAAGCGACAACGATATAATCGGAAAAGATTATCAGTCAACAGTCGCTCGTACATATGTACATCGAAACTTTGCATTGTATTTATACTTCGTTCACCAGGGCCAGGTCAAGAATGTCTGGAGGGGGTGATTTATATTGATCTAAGACGTGTAATTAATAATTAAGGCGCGAAGAGTTCGTATACCTGATTCGTGTATTGTTTTTGTGCAGATTTCCTGCCCAATGATGCTGCTTTGAAGACTCTGAGCGCTCTAATCAATTACGGAGTGAGTCTAGGCAAAATAAGTAAAAGTTACCTGGTTATAGGCCACCGGCAAGCAAGAGATACCGAGTGTCCCGGCAGTGTATTTTACAAATACGTGCAGACGAATCCGCGATGGACGAAACAACCTGTGCCAAAATACACACCGCCAAAGACAACTGTGGAATCAGTCACAGCTGTGAACGACAACGCTAACGTAACTTATCTTTGAACGATTACGAGAAAAATCAGATACAAACGCGTTAGTCGAGTAATATCCATTTCTACCTCGAGGCACGGTGAATGTCTCAAAGCAGTAGGCTTATACGAAATACAGTATTTATATCGTGCGCGACGTTATTGAAAAAAAACGTGAAGCATAATTCGTTTCTTCCTGAAATGAATCATTTTTAAGCGAAGTCTATTTAATTGAGATAGATGGTCGGTCATTTTTGCGCAAACACGCGTATTTCTGCGTATTTTTTGTTTGTCGACCATATCAGGATACGATCTATCGAATTCATTGATTGTTCCTGATTGAATGTTCCTGAGAAATATATTACGCATTATTTTATTATAGCATGTACATACAGAACATTTTTAACTATTTAAAAGATCCCTGTCTTATCTTATTTTCCTTCCCGTAAAAAATGGATAATAATAAAAAATAAAATTAGCAAATAAGAAAGTTAATCGAAATCAACAAAATGGTTCGTACATGAAGAAGTCAATTCTGTCCAAGTAAACAAAATTCCCCCAAGAGAATAAAGTACATTATCTGGGGTAAAAACTTTTCCTGGAGTGGAAGTACACATTACACAAGCATAATACCGATTTGTTTCATTTCATTGTCTGTTATAAATAACATTATACAGCACCAATTGTTGTTTTGTACAAGTTGTGCACTGACTTGGGAAAATCCGAAACTGATACAGATGATTCGTAAATGTACGCGACGAAGTTTCATTTATACGTTGCTGAGATCAAAGATCATGACGCGATGACATATGACATCAATTCTCTTATAAATGTCTAGAGCTCAAAAGATTTCGTGGCAGTGTTTCTTCAATATACAGGATGAACAGATCGATCTCAGTGTTTCTTGTATTGACGATTTGTCAAATAACGTTTGGTTCTCAGCACGAGACACCTGGTACTAAATCTCTTTCACAATTCTATTTTTAACATTGTTTGTTGTTCTTATATTCGTCATCTTCGAAGCAAAATTAATTTCTATTAAACACATGTTTGTACGAAATTCTCGTAATAGATTTCATAGATAGAATCGGTAACTTCTTTGCTTAACGCGAACGTGTGATAATTACTGCGACGTTAGTGCGATGACAGTGTATACGAGAAAATAATTTGCCCTCGTCGTTAGTTATGGTCGAGATTTGATCTTTCTACAGTAATCGCTATTTTTTTAAATGTCGTGCTACGCGTCTGTCATATGTCTCTAAACAAAGAGAAGACATTAAGAATCATTTCTAGTTATTTTAATTTTGTTCGACAAGTCTCATATTTTAATTAGTTGGTCTATGTCAAGAATATAATATTACTGGGTAAAATAAGCTAAATAATTAACAACGTAGGACTTCTAATAAGAATGAAGCGAATAGAATAAAGATTTTCTAAGCTCAGATAAATTTGAAACGCTTACAAACACATAAATATTTCAAATTAATTCTTCTCAGTTCGACCAAATATAATATCGCGGTCAGAATGGGGTGCCATGTCCCCAAAATGGGCGGCAAGAAATCTGAGGGAAGATCCACCCCCGTACGTAATAATTCACCACTCAGCGACCGATGGTTGCACCACTCAAGCGATTTGTCAAGCTAGAATGAGAAGTTTTCAAGTAATTGATTTAATTAATTTCTCATTTGTGGCATATATGGTGGGACCAGTTAATTTTTACTTTGTTTCGGTTGCAATCCACAGAAGTTTCACATGAATGAGAAAAACTGGTCCGACATTGGCTACAATTTCGTAGTTGGAGAGGACGGTAACGTGTACGAAGGAAGAGGATGGGATAAACATGGCTCGCATTCGATACCTTACAATTCGAAAAGTATTGGGATTTGTATAATTGGTAATTTCGATGGTATGTTCGTTCGATGTACTAATTTATTTTTATCAAACAACGATGCGTATATCGTGTAACGTATTGTGTACAAAAACAATAAAATTGCAGGCCACAGTCCAAACGCAGCAGCAATCAGTGCAACCAAGAGCTTGATATCGTATGGAGTATCTATTGGAAAAATAAAAGATACTTACACTTTATTGGGACATCGACAAACTACCCAAACGATTTGCCCAGGAAATAGTTTGTATAATTTGATTAAAACCTGGTCAAGGTGGTCGTCAAATCCATAAATACGAAACACACATCACCATGAAATGTTACTATATTTATTATTATTTTGTACAAAGCATTTTTAAATAAATGTCCTCCGTTTCTGTTGTAATTTTATTTGTTTCGTACATTTATACGTAAAGTGTTACGAGACCGTTCACAGAATTATCGTAAGTGTCCTCTTCGGTTCTTACGCAAATATCTACGTGAGAAAAGTCAGGAGATTTTGTTTCAACGTCGCCGTATTGACTTTTATCCCTAGCCTAACAAATGTGATCAATGATTGCGATTATTAACAAATATATGTCGTAGGGGCTTGCCACCCTCGTTTTAGAGAATACAAATCATACCTGAAGAGGAATTTGACGATTGAATTTTGCGTTCAGCTCCGGTATGCATAATTTTGTCCCGTATGGTATTCCCGAATCTAGATCCATGGAGACGGTGACAAATTCCGTGCGACCATCGAGGAAATCCTAGATAGAGTGAAAACACAAGTAATATGACGTAGTTTACTTTTTTCAAAGAACAGATGAAATTACTACGTTCACTTTCTAACGATCATCGCAGAAATAAATTTTTAAACGCACCTGCAGATTTCTCAGTTTCTTCATTCTGGCGTCCAAGTAATCGAATTCGTCATCGCTACTGTAGTCAGGATAATATGCAGTCATAAAAACGTTGTGATAAGCACGACCACTGCAATTAAAGTCTGATCTATTGAGGCTTCCATCTAAATAATATCGAAGAATATGCCAAGAACGTCGAAATTTATTGCAGAAAAAATGTTAGAGTGAAAAATATTTACCGCTTGCGTGGACAATAGAAGCGACGAATACGATACACGATACGATCAATATCGTTTTCTTCATTTTTTCGATCACGAATTTCAACTTTGCACTGCACGGAGGACGACGAAGAAGTGACTTCGAAATATCGACAGATGCTGTTGCAATTTCCAAGCCATACGGTAATTGCTGAACTCAGCGTGTCGAACAATGGAATTTGTCAAGTCTTCAAGAATCGAAAAACAGAAAGTTACTGACTATAGGTCTGTTCGGTGGTGCACAATTTTAAATTCTCTGTAGAATTACGAAAGTAGGTTAAACATTGTAATATTCATTATCGTTACAACCTGAATCGAAATCCTTGTGAAATATGTACACTGATAATATTTTTGGGCCGAAATAAATATTAATAGCGTTTTTATCTAATTGATACACAACACAATAATTAAAAGTGTTCGGTGCTATTATAAAAGAACCTTACACGAACATCGTATCACGTTTGATTATTACCATTAGTCATAGCCTTTCATTAACTTTTTTTTACAGTGACCCCAAGAAGTAGGAGCTATTACACTATACTCTTCTTGAATAATAGAATCCATGTTTGACTGGGACACGTGGAAAACTACGCAACGTCAGTCGAACGAAAGGCACCGTACCTTTCGTACGTGTTTTCCCGTGTACATTTCTCTAGTTATGGCTACTGATTTTTATCAAGTGATGCAAATACAGGATGACAATTAACGAATCATTGATTGCAGAATTCTCGACAAGGATGGTATAATATTGAAGGACGCAAAAATGGTTTGTTGTACAATAGAATAGATATCAACGGTTGCACGATTGTAAAATTTGTCTACACTAGAATTTAAAATGTATATAAAATTTGTTATTATTCTAAAAGTATATAAAATTTGTTATTATTCTAACATCTTACATAATTCATATCTCAATCATGTACATTCGATATCCTACAAGGACAGAGTAGACGCTTATTGTGTCAAGCACCTGTGCTTCTACTCATTCTCGATGCAAACGCGTCCCTTTAGATTTTTTAAACAATAGTACTGCTTTCAACGTCGGTCAGTTTCCGCACTTGCACCTCAAAATAAATGGAATGCTTCGATATCGAGCGTCTAACGCGAATTTTTATCGTCGTGTATTTTGTTACGTAATCGCACGTCTCGTAATTGACAGATAATTCGATGAAAGTACACGCAACATCGTTCGCATGATCGGCGTGTCATTGCTCCAAAGAATATCGATTTCACCAGCTGGAAATGAAATAAGAAAAAGAGGTAAATGGCTAGCGAGCAAATAAAACGATCGCTCGGGATATCTCGAATCGAAAATAACCGCTGATAATCGCTAATGGGGACGCTGATGATGAATAAAAGATGCATTCATCGTTCTGTGGATTCCCCTTATTAGGGAAAGACACAGAAACACGGTTTGGCAAACGTGTGCACTAAATATTTATAAAGCGTACATAAAGTATATATTTAAATGTGAAGGCCTCCGCTTAACTATTAAGCTTCTAATGCGAAGTCGACTTCTTTTCTTTCTGGGGTACCTTTTTTTCTGTCGGAACGGAGACATTGCAGAAAGGGGATGAAAGTAAAAAACTGATACAGCAGATGGCTGGAATATATTGAATTTTATAACATCTACGTTCTCTAAAACTTGTATTTAAAACAGAAACTCTGTTGCCATTATAGAGGCGTCTAGGTAGGAATCAATAGCTTCGGTTTTCAATACCTCCATTCGTTTTTGTAGAAATGTCAAGGTCGTTTTATATCGTTTTATACGATTAAAAAAGTTAGAGTATCGTCTATAATTCTTGTCGCACGAAAAAGTTGGTAACCATTTAATCCTTTCACTCGATACGTAATTATACGTTAAAACATGTAGAATGCATTTTTCTTTGTACTTTTAAGAAACCTCGAAGTAAAATAACCACGTGACTTTTATCTATATTAGTAATGCAAATGACTTTACATGTGTATAGCCAAGTCTCCCATTCATCAATCTTAGAGGGATTTTTACATCGAAGTCCAATTGTAAACAAATTAATATTTTATCAGAAATATTTTTAGCATCGTCGTCAATGTTAATGTAAATATTCGTCCTCGAAGTAAAACTTCCCCGATTCAATATCAACATGAATATTCCGTAAACATTCTTCGATTTCCTGTTTTAACTAGAGATTCTATCGTGACGCCACTTTCCTTATTTAACAAATGAACGTGTTTGTTTGAAAATGTAATTAAGGTGTCCATGACACAGTCTTCAAACAGTGACGAATCTTGAATTTCGTTTAAGAAACCATATTTGTCGAGCTACTTTCGCGAGCTCGTTACCCAACAACTTCCGCAACTTCCATTATTAAAATTACCATCTGATTAGCAATCTCTTGGTTAGCAAATATGTAGTTTACGATTTACGACCATAGGGGATTCACCGATGGCAGGTTTACTGGCCTTGCGCGTGTTTTTTAGTCCAAGTGACGGGGATTCAACGATTCACGATCATCGATCGATCTGTTTATTTATAAACTCAACATAAAGTCTTGTAAAATTATCTTCTCCTTTCTCGAAGTGTGTAAGTTACAAATTTAAGAAGTGCTTCAAATGCTCAAATAAAAAATAATATATCTTCGAGGATAGGAAATGACCCAGAGCAGGCGAACCGTAGATTCACGATCGATTTTGTTTACTGGCGCGAACAGAGAGAAAAAATGGTGTTTGACGGTTGCTTCCTCGCTCTTTTCTCCACGGACCGAACATCCAGTTTCGATGACCCGGTGAAATCTATGGAAACGAGTTCACAGGTGGCGTCGCGACGCTTCGCATCGACTTCATTCGACGCGCGACGCTTCCTCGTGTCGTGCACCGCCGTTTCGCTTCGGACACGAGCACGATTTGTCTATTGTACGCGGCACAGCGATGAATTTTTCGATTGCACCGAGCGGCCAAAACAATACCTCGCTATGATAATAGTACCGTGATCCCCGAAGTCTACCAGGTAATTTTGAATTTTGAGAAACGGTTACGACGAACCGATCGACGCAAGACGCACGATGCACGAATTTTCCTGGTTTTCCGCGTGCACTTTTGCTTCTCGATCACTGTAATTTTCTCTTTGTTGGTTTGCACACCTTTGCACTTTGAAAAACGCTTCCGAAAATTGATTGACTTGGTAATCGAGTCTACACTGAAGTAGATTTGATTGCAGGAATGAATTAGACTGGAAAAGGTCGTGAAAGTTCCTTTAGAAGCTTGTTTAAATTACGCTTTTGTGTGGAAAAGTCACTGAATAAGTTCGAATGTCATTAAATTAAAAATAAAAAGAGTAGAATGCAAATCACCAAGAGATTCAGACGCTAGAACTTTTATAAGAAATTCGCGCAACGGTTTCCAGCAGAGGCAATCGAAGGTGGAAAAGAAAATTGTTTTCATTGTCACGTTCATGGCAATTTAAAATATTTAAAGAACCATTTTATCGACGTATGAGGCACACTTTATTAAAGATGCAATAAACACCTTTGCACGATCCATCAAAATTGTAATTCAATGTAACATTAATCATGCAGGCACGCGTCGTGTCGCAAACAGTTTCCAATGGTTTATCGTAAAAATTTCCTTCCTTTGTTCCTGTTTTGCAAACGTCACGTACATTTAAATTTCGTTCTTAGATGCTACAAAATTCATATTTGATAAGACAAATTGTTCCAGTCGTTACCGTATAATTAAACGAAACGTATGTTTCGTTCACCTTGTTTCTCATGTAAATTTTGCGACGCGAATAAAATGCAATTCGCCGAGATAACATCGCACGTGCCCGATGGCGTTATTCGTGTTACATTTGGCTTCACACGCGACCCACAAACCGGGGGAATCACCGCTCGTTCTTCCCGGAGAAAAAAGGCGAAACGGCGACGGATCTATCGCTCGTGCGATCGCAGACATTTATTTCTTTTTTTCACCGTGATCGGAAGAATGACGTAGGCTATCAATTATGTACGTGCATAAAACGAATGGACAAATTTTACGAATATATTTTCATATTCTTAGATAGCCAAAGTTAGTAGAAAATATATAGGAAACCTCCTATAAAAAAAGAACTTTCTTTCTCACCTTTCAAAGCGACGAAACAGGTCGAAAGATGTATATTCGAAAAATTAACTTCGTTATAAAAATGTTGTATACCTTGCTTGCTTATTATAACTCCAGCACGCCTAGGTAATTTAACCTCGATCTCGCTTTAGCGATTGTATTTCCCCTGAAAGAAGTTCAGAACAAGTTTTTATCGATGCTTGCGTATGAATTGAAACGAACCGTATCTCGAGAAGATGATAGGTCTGTCACCTTTCCACGTTTCGACAAATATTTATTGAATCGAACTTATTAATCATTGGCCTTTCTTCATCGGGAAAGCCGCGAAATAATTTTAATCTCGGAAATACATTAGTCGCGCGGAGTAATTTGCACATTGATGTGAAACTAAATCGAAGAATATGTGTGTATATAGGCGTTATCGCGAATCAGTAAGGTTATCAGAGAATCAATAACGAATGTTTCTATACTGATTCTATAGTGATGACCGACGATTAATTCACGATGTCGTTTCACGTCGCCTTTGTTCGAACGTGATTTTTACTGAACTTTGTTCACAGACGCAGATGAACCCATCAACGCTAAAATTGTGGCTGGTCCGCGGTGAACTCGAGAAACTAGAGCATGTCGTTTTGGAAGGACGCGGAGCTCGTTTGTTAGGCGAACACTCCCCCGATATCAGAACCCGAGTCTTCCTAAAGGGACTCCCAAATTACTTGGTTGGTGCATTATCGATAACACAGCGATAACACGCTGTCCAACGGATTGAAACCTTTTTCGCTGATTGATTCTTGCAGAGTTTCTCGTACCAAACACGAACACGGAAGTAGAATTTCTCCGTCGTGAAAGCTAAAGATATGTGATTGTTTCGGACAAGAATGCAGATTAAAATTCCTGTTGGACAGTGTGCTTTGCGAACAGAGGACTCTTGGAATGTTCCATTCTCGTTTATCCTTCCAGACAAAAATCTCTCAAGTGCACGACGCGGTTGCTCGCGGTTCTCTGTCAGAAACTCAAAAACTCATTAACGACGAGCCCAAGAAGAAGTTGGCCATCGCGAAGGATCCAGCTGGCACACCGTTGCTCCACAAAGCCGTCTACTACGATCAACAGGACATCGTCGAGTGGCTCGTGCAACATTATCCTACTACCGTGCAACAGAAGGACAAAGTAATCATTATTCAATCTCTTACAATTCCATTTTCCCCCTTTATCGTTCTCATCCAATGAATTTGTTCAGAGTGTTCAAAACACTTGAAAAACCTTAATTATCCATAAAAGTTCCAGCGAAGACTAAAATTCATAAACGATAATCGTTCGAGGACTGAATGGACCCGATCGATTCCAATCGGGACAGCGGGACAGCAAAACCAACCACGTTTCCGTTCGAACCGATGACCCGCATGACCCCACGATATGTGACACGATTAACCTGAAAAGAATTTCACAATGAACCAATCGTTTCCTCAACATTTACAGCCTTGATCCCGACCGTTAACACGAGGGATCGTGATTAATTGGCGAACGAGTCCCGCCCACTTTCATCTACGAGATCGGTTGTACGTCACGATGGTATCGTGACACGGGCGTTTGCGCTTCTCGCGAGATATCCGGCTCCATGAATAATCGAAAAGCCATTTTTCCTAACGACGGTCGTTTTTCCCGCATCGCGTGACGCGACTTAATAACAAAGTGTAAACCACCTGTTCTTCCCTGCAGCCATCCAACTTCGTGTCCGGGCGCACGCAGTGCCTCCAATACGGCAAAGGGTGCCTTTTCACCCCTTTCCCACCCTCGATCTCAATTCGCGTCCTATATATTCGCCATTTAACTGTCGTCGACTTCGCGATCGCGCCGCTGTTCCTTCGGACTATTCGTTCTCTAACGATCGCAATTCTTCTTTCCCCAAAGACCACGCAGCGAATTTCCTGTCCCTGTAAGTCCACCAAGTAATTAATCGACTCTCTTTTGGTGCTATTTCTGTCACAGGTACCGGAAGGAACCTTTGAAAATTATACCTTGAAATTATTTTGTAAGTTTAATCGTCCTCCCTCGATTCGCTTCTTTTTAATAATTATTTGAGCAGTATCTAATTATAGACTCACTCACCGATTGTTTGTTACGCGAGTCTCGTACGTTTGATCCTCAGGAAGGTAGGACAGCGTTGCATTACTGTGCCGCTTGCAAGGATCCTGAGGCAATTTGGGATGTCCTCATAGAAGGCGATTGCGACGCGAGCATCTGCGACAAGAAAGGCAATCCACCAGCCTACTATCTGGAACACAGCTCGGAGATCGAGCTATCGGAAGCGGAGACCATGTCTCGCCGGAAAACGAGCAGTGGCAAGGAATGTGAGTGACTATAATCAACCGTGTCTAACCCTTTCATTCGGGAACTCGAACGAACTCCAAATTGAAATTACACTCGCGTTAATTCGCAATTGTGCACTTTATACGACCTACCTTCACATATAACAATTACAGCAACCACATCTTATTTCGACAAACTGGGAATAAGAATATTAGTTCCTTTTTATTATTTTCTATCGCTATATTTACAGAAATATGCATACATGCAGTTACTCCAGTATTTGTACGCTATAATGACGATTCACTGTAAGATTTTCATACATTGTTTGAATAAATTAAAAAGAAATTTATTGCACATCTCTATTTGTAAACAAAACAAAACAAAACTACTTTATAAATAAAAGTAACACAGTATAACAAACAACATTAGCTAAAAATAAATGGAAAGAATTCCTAAGAAAGTTTCTTTCCATTTATAGTGAATCGCCATTACAGTGTGGGAGTAAAACTGTGTGTGAATAGTAAAATAAGAATTTAAGATTCCCCAGTTCTCTACTTGACTGACATTGATTGATTGACAAAGATTGGCACGATCTGACTGGACTAACGTATAGAAGTTGGTTTAAAGATTCACATAGGTTTTGTATACTAACTTAATTCCGACTTTTCTTCTTTATACCTTTCTGTATAAATGGAGCAACTTTACTGGAGTTGACCTTTTTACACCCAACCAGTCGATGTACGTCGACCCTCTGTACTTATGCGACAACTGGCCTCTCGGAAATCGTGAAACCATCCTTCCGGGCAAATGGTTCTCGTAAAACTTATTTCCAGTTCGAATCAAAATGCTGCATCTTCCGATTGTTAATCGCATACTCGGTTCGATGGAAAGTAACCTGGACAGAAAGATTTCCACGCAACCTTGCTAAAGGCTGTGTTTCGTTCATTCTCCGCCTTAGACGAATATAGGATTCCTTGACTTATACCCTACCGGAATCTACCTGTAATGACCAGGAGGAATCGATAGGACTTGAATTTGTAAGGCAAAGAAAACTGCGGCGATCGATAGGATGACATGCTCTAATCGATCGAGTCGCGAATTATTAAGGGACTCGTAAAAACCGTAATTCTAAGAAGTTGCATCGATGTTGTAACGATATAAAGGCGGTTCCCTTCGACTTGTCGCTACGAAACGATCCATCGTGACGCAACGTGTCCTGAAATTAACAGTTCCGAGATCAATTTTTAGCAACGACGGCATGGCACGATTTTCGAAAGAAAATTGGAAGCATGTGCATTTCAATGATCGGTGACCTATTTCCTGAATACCCGCATTCGCCTATTCGCCATTTAAAATTGAACGGTAAACTGTTCGAAGAAAATTGTGAATAATAGTTGGACGAAGTTGTAGGTGAATTTCCGCAGTAAATCAATGACAATGCTAAAATGAATAACGAGGTAACGATTATGTTTAGTTTAACAGGAAACAATTATATAAAACTGCTACGTATGGTAATTGTTAAATTCTTGGCCTTCGAGTAATTTTATATCTTTTTCTTTTGCTGTTCACGAGTCGAGATTTTTAATACAAAGGGCACGCTCCCGTTAAACTGTGAAAGTGGCCATTGCAGTTATCGAGGCTGACGCTGGAACTTTTGTTGAATTGACAGACATCGATGGTACATTAAATCGTCGTAAACTGTCAGTGTTTCATGTGGCGCACGGAGTCAGTATGGAACGCCTGCAATGTACATTTCCGCCTACATTGATTGATCTATTTACCAAGAAAGCATAGAGTACGTGCGATGTAAACAGTGTCAGCGATGTGACGAGGTCCGTGCACCCGGCTAGCTTCTCAAAAATTTATTAATCCACCGTGGAGCATGCAATCCGAGTCGAAATAAAACATTACGTGCCTCGGCGAGCACGCTCGTTGCAATTTCAAGACACAGCCGGATTCTTATTAAAAAACAGATCCGCACAAAATAATTTTCATTTGAAATGTCGATGTAAAAGCAGAATCGTAATTAAGAAAATTCCTATTAACGTGTAACATTCGTCCTGATCTACCGATAAACGTAATTATTATTTTGTTTTCAAACAAACCTTCCTAGTTACGCGATAGATGTTAATAACAAGAACGAGGAAAATTGAGAAAATGAGATAAGCGATACGAGGAAAAAAAGGGTTATGCACATCGATTGGTTTGTAATCCTGATACAACAATGTTTTATTCATAAATGTGACGTACTAGTAACAATGTCTATTTACATTTTTTTTTAATTTATTTCATTCAGAATTGTTTGCTGATTAGATGGAAAATAACGCACTATGCCAGTAGAATGTTATTGACGTAATACCTGCAGGTTTGCGCGAATAAGAAGATATACCGTTTGATTTCCTCGACAGTGTCTCGTTCGAGTTACGTAAAAATTGATGACTCACTAATGGTAGCAGGCGTTCGTCATAACACATTCAATTATGCCACGGTGATTTCTTTAAGCCGCTCGACGCGATGGGTATTATTTAAAACTGTCACGTTATTAATTTCGATATTGCAGAAATAATGAAAGACGATATTGAAACGTGTTATCGCTTGGAGTTCGCAAAAAGTTTGAAAATCAATTTTCGAAAAAGTAAAGTTCTCTCCAAGCTAAAACGATATGCCTTCGTTCTGTCGGCCTCGGAAAAGCAACAGTGTCGAACACAAAATCGATAGTTGCTGGTAAAGGGATTCGTCCGCGTATCTAAAATATTTACCACGCTAATCTAACACGCGATGTACGGGTACAAATCTTGCCACTCGTAAATTCTTAACAAAGCAGTCATACCTCGAGGAAAGAAGGCCACGCCGTTACTTAATTTATAAACGAAAAAATTGTTCAACGCCCCAATTAATACAAATTGCCATGAAGTACCAAGGGCATGACCGTACATTGCCATTTACAAGTCGAATAATCGCTTGTCCAGCTTAGAAAATGCAAATTAGAATCTTATTATCTCGTTATTCACCTGTTCTAAGTCATTCTTTTACTCTAACGTTTATAATGTTTATACATGACCCGAACAAGGTTGAAACAATGAATTTACTAAGTGGATGGGCGTGGATGTACATCACGGACATTTCGAAGCACATCATTATGATCAAAATAAAAGCGTGTCTAATAAATTATACTTTCACTCTTCCCTTAATGAAATTTCATAAAGTGCGAAACGCACATCGATCAAACATTAATTAAATAAAAAAAAAGGCGAAGAAAAGGGAAAACAAATACTGGAAAAAGAACCATCTGATCATCAAAGATAATTGTTTTACTCCAAGCCGTCGAAAATAATTTTTACAACTAACCGGAGAAATATCTTTTCTAGCCCTGGATTTCAAACCTTCCAATATAAGAATATGGATCCATAATCGAGATATCGGAAGATTGCAACAGGTTCTGTGGGAAGGACATGGAAGTAAATTGCGCGTCGAGACCAGCAACAATCCGCGAGTAAAAAAATTTTTGGAAGCTGTTCCCTTCATAATGGTTCGTTCCTGCGTACAATCTTTAATTACTTACTTTTGGACGAGGAGAATTCGTTTCTATATTTGTATCACAGGGCACCGTAAGGGACGTCCATGCAGCCACGGTTCATAATCATTTAGACGACCTGAAAAAGAAAATTGACGCCACGTCACCTGTAGTTCTGTGCAGCAAAGATTCCAATGGTTTGAACGTTCTGCATAAGGTACGCGACGAACAAAATCCGTAATATTTTATCAATACGCGACAACGTTGTTGAAATGTTTAAACTATCGTTAGGCTGCTGGATTGGGGCATACGGAGATCGCACGAGAAATCCTCGCGAGATATTCGTCGGTTGTAGATACGCAAGACAACGATGGGAAGACGCCATTGCATTACGCGGCTGCAGTAAAAGACGACGGGGGATTATATAATTTGTTGACCGAATACGGGGCGGACGAAAGCAAATTGGACAATGTGAGTGTTCCACGCGTCGAATTAATTTATTGCAGATTTGATCGACTAAAGATTTTACTGGAATGAAACTAGAAACGAAAGTAGAAACGTTGGTTAGAATTTTATGACAAATTCAAGCTCACTTATATTTTCCAATTCAAATAAGATGCTTCTGTCAACAACTTTTAAGAAGAAATTGGTTTGCAATAAACCTTCATTTATTGCACTTACATGCATGTTTCTTTTTATCAGAGGCAAAAGGCTGCAGCTTTTTATAAGAACCGCCCTTCGGACATAGATCAGTCGCTTCTAACTGTGATACCGGAAGCGCCTCGAGTTTCGAAACCGTCGTACCCCAAGCACTGGGATTGGAGGATCTTAGAGGGAGAGGAATTGATATCGAGAGGCATGAAAAAAATCAGCAGCGCAGACATTGACAGCGCATTTGGCAGCGCCGAATCCGCATCGAAAAGTTTCAGCAGATCCATAGAACAGGTACAACCATAATCAGTTAAATTTTCTGCTGAAAATGCAAATATCAGTGGAATTTAGTCCAGATAATAACCTCTCATACAAGAATTGTATAGAGTCTAATGCTTCCACCTCTATAACTGTAGTTTCAATTCGGATCTATTAATAAATGCGACAGCAAAATCATTCTTGAAATATACTATATCACCTGTCTTTATCTTTCATCCCAACGTTTCTCGAAATCGTCGTAGAAGTCATTACTTTTGGAGTCTACTTGGTCTTAGACTACTACATCAGAAATCTTAACAGTCCTTGCTTCTGTATTTTAAAGTACCGATAAAGAAAGTTTAGAAATGCACTAGAGACATTCAAAGTTCTGTCTACGCAATGAGATTAATGGTTTGTTTAACGGAACAGATGAAGAAAGTCGGTGACGATCAGCAAAAAGACCAAGAAGATTCGGGGAACGCAGAAGAGGCGGAAAACGCAGAAAATACAGAAAACACAGAGAATAGCGAAAGTGTGGAAAACACGGAGGATGCAGAGAACGCTGAGAAGGCAGGCGATGCAGAAGCTGCAGAGAACGCAGAGGAGGCAGAACCTGCAGAGGGTGCGGAAGAAACGGAAGATGCAAAAGGCACGGAAGATGAGGAAAACAAGGAGGAGGAAACGGCAGAGGAAGCAGCGAATCCGGAGGATGGGGAGGAAAGATCCTCCGACGATGACGTGGTGACAGGTACACCGATGCAAGACGCGGAGGAAGCACCTAATCCTGAAGAGGAGGAATCACCGGAAGTTGAGGTCGCGGACGAAGCCAAAGAAGAGACCAACGAGGCAACGGACGCCGAAAAACCCGAGAACGCCGAGCAGGAGGAGGAAAGGAAGGACCAAGAAGAGAGAAACGAGCCCAGCACCGGAGATTCCGGAGTCGATGATCCAGGAAACGATGAAGATCAGGTAAAGTCATCATAACACTTAAACAAATCCGATTTCAGGAATTTAATCTGCTAACACGCACACGCAAACGCAGCGAAAAGTAAGAAATAAATATACATTAGTTAACGAGAAACGTAGGAGTGGAAATCCAGGCTTCGATTGTCGTTTTGGTGAGTGTATAATGAGGAACGCGTAGTCAGCAAATGTAACCACGGACTTACGACGGTTATAAGTGTCAGGATAAGTAACTAGATATTGTGTATTGGAGTTAAGGAATGATCGATGTGGAAATATTATACAGTATGTTCTTTGTCACGCACAAATATACCAATAAATAAATAACTGAAGAAAGGACCTCTGTTATGTAACTTCTGAATACAACAGCCCCACGAACGCTCAATGGCTTCATTCGTTTCTTCGTTCTTTGCAAACTTTATTTGTCGGCAACAGTTTCTATATTACGCTTATTATTTGTCATTCGAGAACCAGCAATATTTACACGATTACTTTTATTTTCTTAATTTGTTCCAAATGAATTCAACGATTGTTTGTTTCGAATCTAAATTGGTAGCTTCGTTAAAAGTTTGATGCTCGTTCCAAAGACTTAATAACAAGCCAAGCTTAACTTTAAAACTTTGAAGTAGCCACGTGCTCTAGTAAATATTATATAAAACTGCAACACATTTTGTTAAAAATTGGCTGACCATCCTACGATCTATGAGAGACTTCTCTTCTTAGAAACAAAAACAAAAACAATAGAAACAAATTAAGCTAAAAGAAGCGATTAAAGAAACAAGAAACAAGTTGCCAGACACACGCTGCGTCATTCGATCGATCGAAAAATGGACGGACGAAAATATACACGCATCGGCACGCAATGTAGAGACGAAGCAAAGACAGGGAGCGATCGATTTACATCCAGATTGCTACGTACGATTAATATTTCCTCTATCGATCAGCACGTGCTGGCCGCGCGCATGGTCTCTTACCAGAACGTGATTAGCAGGTAATCGCCGGAGAACACGAGGAGCTTCCGGAGACAGAGCTGAACGAGGGCAGCATGTCTGCTGATCCGGAAATGGAGAAACTGCTGGAGAACGGAAACATGGAACAGTTGGCCACTTTGGTGCTCAACGGGGAGGGCAGAAGATTGGTCGGACGACGATCGGGACACCCTGAATTGCAGGCTTTCATCGATCGCGTGCCTTCTTACATGGTATTACGCGCTGCTTGTACAAAAAAGTGTCTTTTTTCTGCCTCGGTTTTCACGCTGTCGTTTCAGGGTAAGATACACGCTGTGCACATGGCGGCGCGAGAAGGAAATCTGAGGGATCTGCAAAGTTCGCTGGATCGTCGCAAATTTGCAGTCGCGAGGGATGGTTCGTCGCCACATGGCGCAACACCGCTCCACGTTGCAGCTATTTTCGGAAACACCACTATTATTAGGTACATTAATACAAATCAAGTCGATTACACTTTTATTCGATTAAAAATTACTACTCTCGATGTCACGTTTATTATTTAACAAGTTTGTAACTTTCACGGTACAAAATGCAGCGAAATTAAAAATACAAGGAGAAAACGAATCGCCTTGTCAGGTGCCAATCAATTTTTATCGATTATTCCCCGACCTATCAATCTTTTATGCTCAGATATCTGGCAGGGAGGTTTCCGGAAACCACGCATGCGACCGACCTGGATGGCCGAACACCCTTGCACTACGCGTCTACTCTGGCAGACAATGGCCATTATTACAATCTCTTGCTTCATTTAGGCGCCAATCCTCTGGTTCAAGACAATGTAAGTGCAATCGCTTCGATAATCAATCGTTATTCATAGAAAGAAAGTTTCCAAAACTATTGGGTAGAAAAAGTTAAATAAACTTGTAAGAAATAATATTTCCAGTTGCGTATTTATATTTGTCGTACTTTCTCGCGTAGTTTGGGCACAAGGCGGAGTTTTACAAGCAAAATCAGTCCGAATTCTCGCATAAAACGCTCCTCCGTGATTTCGGGGCTAACGAAAAACTGGCCGACGAAATGTTGACGGACAAAGGTATTTCGTTCGAAACGAGACACTTACAAGCACCATCGATCACACCAAACAAAAGTTGTACAATGATCGTTCAAAGCACCCTCGCAACTCTTGCTCCAATTCTTTTATTTGTATAAAAATAGGTGGATATAAAAAACGAAAAATATTTCACCCTGTTTGATCGTTTGCTCAGACACTGAATGTTGAATACTTTCACGACATATCATTCTAGACGTTGAAAACTAATTACTTTGTAATTTAATTGAGCGTTTGAACAAATGGACGATCAGAGATCGAATATTTTTTAATTCTCCATCTACCTCGTTAAAATCAGTGCGTAAAACGCCATGTGGCCCAATCGTGACAGTAAGTGTACCCATCAAGTAGTAGAAATCATCAAATCCCCTATTGTTCGAATCATTCACCTCCCATCGTTACCAAAAAATTCTAACAAAATTTCCTGATTATCCGCGATTCTTCACGTTTCGCTCTTCCGTCTTCCTCCCGGATCGTTTCGTCGGTCTCGATGCTCGAGGGAAACAGTTCCCGGAGGCGACACGTTCTCTGCACGTCGAGACATAACCGAGCCAGAGATCCTAACCACCTTGGAGAGGTGTTTCCGTCTGTTGGCTGGGACAAGACACATCGCGACCCCGAAGTCGCCGGGGAACACCGGTACACTGATCAGCCGTTGCTTGAAACGGCCCATATTCGATAGTATCAAGCACCGTGTGACACGCATGGACCACAATCTCTTTGACGTGATCTGGCCCGCTTTAAAGAAGCATGGCAACTCGGTTTACAACAGCAAAGCGAGCAGCGCTTATTCGGTCGTCAGCAACCACGTGGAGGAAGATCAATCCTTGTCCATCGTAGCGCCGGATTACGAGAGCTACATCGTCTTCGCGGAGTTCTTCGATCCTCTGATCAGGGACATGCACTGCGTCACGGCCAGCGGCGATCTTCCCGATCATCCGGCGCCGCGATTCTTCTACGCGGACGACGACGAGGGCGAGGAGGGTCCGGACACCGTGGACGAGATGACGATCTCCACGATCGAGGCGTACGATCTCGATCCACCGGCGAAGTACGTTCAGGCGGCCGTGATGGAATGCTGCAGAAACCTGGAGAAGTACTCGTTGCCCCTGACGCTGACGGTGAACCAATTGGAGGCGGTGGAGAGGGTGCTGACCAACGAGCTGATGAGCTCAGAGATCTCCGGGATGATGGCGGAGGGCAGCAGCGAGGACGAGCCTGGAACTTACTTCACCCTCAACGAGATCTTGGACCAACCCAGCCCCGTCAGAGCCCAGCTGGCGGCTGCTGGTTTGCTGTTGCCGATCGCTGACTACGATATTCAAGACGACAAACGACTGCACGGCAGACAATGGCCGTACGGACGCGGAGTCTACGTCGCCTCCGCCGGAGATCTCGCCGCCTGGGTGAACGTTCAGGATCACCTGAGGATCGTTTGCCGCACCAACGACTCTAGACCAGGTCTGATCGGTCGCGCCTACGTGAGAGTCGCGAAGATCATGGTGATACTCGACGAGAGGCTGCAGTTCAAGAGAGACACGAAGCTGGGCTTCCTCAGCGCTAGACCGTACGCAATCGGCAACACTCTCAGGTTCAGCGCGATAATACGGTTCCCCGAACTCTCCAAGGAGTTCGAAAACTTGAAACACCTGTGCGTCGTGCGTGGATTGAGTATACGCGAAACTGCCCGCCAGGATACCGTTCGTATCGGCAACCAACAGTCCTTGAGCATCACGGAACTGCAGACGCTTCAGGACTTTTCCAGAGCAGTGTTGAATATACTGATGTTGGAGAAGGAGCTGACGATAAACAGCTCGATGAAAATCGCTAATTTACTCGCGGGACTGTTTCGGAAACGGACGAGCGCGAAACGTTTTCAGAATTAAGCGATCCGGACGTGGAACTTCGGAAACCGTCCTGCATCGCGTCAACGAAGACTTTTACCTGTTTTTTTTTATTTCTTTTTACTTTGTTTTTTTTTAAATACTGGAATAATACGCTTATACGTGGAAACCTTCTGTGATAATTCATGAGCCACAATGTTCAACTGTCAATTAATCGCCCATAAGCTAATATTATAGTGAAACTTTAACAGAGAAAGGGGGATCGTTGGAAAGACGTGTGCAAACGTTATGTCTATTTCTCGTGCAACGAATTACGATATTTGAGCAAAATTTAATCGGATTAACTTCTCAGAGGGACGCTGGATTGTTTATTAGGTTAGTAAACGTACGTTGTTGGCCCACGAACAGTTGTTACGACGCTTTGACATGTTGTCGCACGACACCATGCTTACGTGAAATGTGCATATATGTATCCAAATCGATGACGATATTATTGAAATTATCGGTGATGAATCCGCCTTGTTCGGTGGGTGGCAAAACAAGCTTACAAAGTCTCTACCAAAGCTTCTTTATGTGTCATGCACGAGATCAATGTTCACAGAAACAGAAACGGCGTAGCACATGTCTTTCCAACTTGATGTACTCAATTTACAATAAATATTTTCATGAGTAGCTATTCTATGTAAACTTTTAAATATGTATGTACATATATATATAAAAAAAAACAAACGAAATTATCAAATACGCATTTGATGCACACATTCAGAATTAATTTTTGCCTTAATATTTTTGTAGCTATGTGTATATGTGCTTTTGCATTTTGAGTCGTATATAGTACAAACTAAATAGCTGTTAAATTTTTTACGTATGCGTGTGTGTGTGCACAAATTTTGAAATGGATCGATGCACTGTGTGTATACGTGTCATATATTTCTGATGCATCTTTTGTTCATGAAACATTTTTCTATATTTATACGCGATCGTTCACGTTCGATCAAATTGTTATTGCAATAATCTTTCGAATGTTCCAAACAGTTTGAAAACCACTAATTTGATTAGATATCGAAGAAATCCAGCGATAAATTACAGAATAACGAGTTGCAACTTGAACGAGAGCAATATGTTTATACATTTCGTACGTTTGATTCGAGAATGTAAATACGATTTTCCTTTCAGGCGACACGCCACTCGATATACCAATATTTCGAGAGGAAGAAGGTCGCTATTTAGCATCGTGTAAGTTGAAATTATATTTCCCTTTATCGAAATAAGAAGAGAACATAATTTGAACAACTGTTTCAATAGCTCTTGGCGATCCACTGATAAAAGGCTTAACGGAAGTTGCCAATGCACGCCCAAAAGATCCGGTCACGTATCTGGCAACCTATTTATACAATTTTGCCAATAAGACCAAACACAGTGGACAAGAACAGGTAAAAATCTGATTCGCGTAAACGATAAACTAACTTCCTGAAACAAGATTTGAAAAATTTGTACAAAACTGAAGACTCTAGAGTTCTTATAATTCGACAATATCGCAGGAACCGAACGTGTTGATTATACCTGACCGTGAAGAAGAGAATATAGAAAATGTTGAAAACGAGAACGAGGATGCTGGTTACCCACAAAGTCCAGGTTCCGATACGCCGGAATCGGCTTTCAGCAGCCCTAACAGAGTACGCCAATCAATTATTATATCGTTTCTCGAATAAATATACACGGCTCATGGTTGTACAGGTGGAAGACTCAAATTAAATTTTATTTTGTTAGGACGAGCACGGACAAAGTGTGATTCATTTCGCGGCCATTCGTTCTTACTCGAAAGACGGACTGTTCCAGCTGCTTCAGGAGAATCAAATTAATATAGGATTCAGGGATGAATTGTACAGAACAGCTAGGGACGTTGCTGAGCTGGCGAATGTCAAAGAAAACGTCGAAGAAATCGATCGCTACGTGGCTTACTTAGCAGCGAGGGGTGAGAAATAAACTGTAATCAGTACTGGAAAAATGATAGATGTCGATTAGATTTTTATTGAACGTTATTAGATTTTTTACAAACTTCTTAGCCACTGTTAGAGAATGTTCGATCCATTACTTTTACGTAGGCGAAACTGAGAAGTTAGTAGAGCTACTGTTGGAAGGATACGATCATATTTTGGATGTGGAAGACGGGGGCGTGAACATCGTGAATATCGCTGAAGAACGAGGACGCGAAGCAACAGTGCAGTTTCTACAATCCATTCCAAATTACGTGGTAAGATTTACGAAATTTAAACGAATAATTAAAGCTTGTTTTAATCGTCGAAATAGGAAAGTAAAGTAGTTTCAACAGTACTCGTCCCAAACGCGTGTGCAGAAAATTGATTATTTTTTCGCAGGCGCAACGCGAAGAAGTCCACCACGAAATCAGAATGGACAACGTAGCAAAAGTGAAGGAACTGCTGCACAGAAACAACGGAGGAGGAGGTAAATTGTTAGCGATGGGGAAGAACCCGATGAGCAGATGCGCTCTTCACATTGCTGTACTTCGCGAGAACGAAGAAATGGTAGAATACATTGCGAAAACGTATCCAGAGACTCTGCGTATCGGCGACAATGTGAGAATCGTTAATTTCGTGAATGCTCGTTAAATGTTGACGACTCTATAAACAGAAGAGATTCTAAATCGTCGGTTTCAGTTGGAGAGGACTGCTTTGCATTACGCAATGGGGTTGCCATCGGTCGAGGAATTGAGCAACGTTCTCATTAAAGCAGGCGCGAAGCGTATCGTCAAAGATTTGGTAAAGTTTCTCTACCTCCGAGCGTAGAAGCAAGGAATAATAATAACAATGTAATTTTTAGAAATCACGACAACCCTCCTATTATTTCATGAACAAGTCAGACATCGAAAGGCTTCAAGAAGAAGAAGAAAGTTTGATCAAGTAGATCCAACTGGACGAGGGTATTGGTAAATGTTTACATATGTATACGTACACCTTGAAGTAATTGTATGGACGAGTATAACATAAAATGAGGAAGCGGGTAATATAATATGCATTTAACAGAAGCGAAAGAAATCAACATGTGCCACTTTATTCGGTATATTAGAATTACTATATCAATAGAAATTCAACGCTTCTTCTTCTGAAAGTGCGTTTGAGCAGACAGTATTTTTCCGTGATCCCTTGTAAAAAAAAAAAGACGATGGTTGTGTAACAAAACGTCGTGTAATATACAATGTTAGCGATAGAAATAATAAGAATATTTGGCTTTTGCGTATACGTTTCGTTTAATTACCTCCGCGCGAGTTCTTTATTTTTAATTATCTACAAAACCTTCGAGTACCAAGGCGAGGATCTGCATTACGCCCTTGCCGCTTTCTGTTTCCTAATTCATCTAAATAATAGTCGAAGAACGTTATTCACGATTATATTCGGGCACATTAATTAACCACAGGGACAAACGTAAAAAAAATATGAGTAATGAAAGTTGTAAAGCGTATCAAAGTATATCAGCTATGAAATAAAATTATTTTTCAGGGTATCTGTTACGTCAGAGCGTGATCGTCATTCTAATTGGAATGACGCAATCCGCGCAGGGATATTCTGCCCGCTAAGACAGTCGCAGTACACCAGTCTCTGAACCAAGGTACAATATTTATTCGTACTCTTTGTTCTATCCAAGGCTTCTCTCGTAATCTACTTATTGTTCTTCAAACCGCAAAATCCTCAGAGTCCCATTATTAATGTTCGTATCACTGATAAGGTGTAGTGTATCTCTTATTGCTAATCTTGGGCTGGCATTGCGTTTTTCGGACATTCGATGGATTTTCCTCGCTATCCTCGGTGTCGTCGATAATTGGTTGCCAGGGCATAGGGTTTACGTAAGCTGGCTTTGCTTTTTGATGAGCTGGGAAGTCAAAATTAATATCAAATGGGACTCTTAATAACGGAATACGGTGTAAAGAAATTATATGCAGCGGGATTCTACACCTTTGGATCGACCAATGACAAAAGAAATATTTCAGACGAAACGTACACGAATACTACGAACGTTTAAAATTAAGATAGATAAACTAACGCAGAAGTCCTTGCGTAGCCGGCTTAGGTTTGTTCTTCGCGTTCTTTCGCCAATTTTCGTAAGCTTTCGTACTTTCTTCTAGCCTTTTCTTCTTCTCCTCAGCAACCTGTTGCCGTTTCATCTCCTCTTTCTTTTGACGAGCTAGACGAACATCGAGGATATCAAATCCTGGACGAATCGAAGGTTATTGGCACTTTCTTTACCTTTCTCTTCCTCCTTCTTCTTCCGAGCCCACTGGCGAAGATACAGGCTCTTCGCCACGACAGCCTTCTCCTCGATCTCTTTCAACTGTCTCTGTAGATCCAATTCCTTCTCGACCATCGCTTTCTTCCGCTCCTCTTCTCTCCTCTTCCTCTCGGACCACTTTAAAAAATTCTCCCGCTCCTGGGATTCCCTTTCTTCCTTCTCGCGCGCCAGTCTCTCCGCCTCTATTTGCTTCTTCCTTTCGGCCTGATCTTCTTCCACCTTCTTTTGCCGCGCAGCTTGCTGCTTCTTTCGCATCCACTCGTGGTACGGGATTCTTTTGAGGAGATCGCTCTCGGTCAATCTGTTCTCCGAAATGCTAATGCTGGATAACGATGTCGTAGACACTTGCACGATGCGGTGTCCATTGAACGAATATCTAAGCAAGAAAATGTCGAAATCGTTTGTTCGTGTTACCGTAAATAGAGAACGAGAAAAAGAACGGAACGGAGCGTTAGAAATTTGCAAAATACCTCTGCTCTTCCGTGTCGACTCGGTTGACGGAGCAAACCTCGTCGCGTTCGTCTGCTCTAACGCCGATTCTACATCGTCTCTCGACGACTTGATTGGAAGGTCTACACGAGATTACAGACTTAGACCGCGGAACACCAGATTCCAAGGAGGTGGTCGGTGAATTCAAGGAATAACAACGATACGTTTCTTGAGCCGAAGCTTGATCGCCCGCGTGGTCCACGAACGAGGTGGACAGATCATTCTTGATGGACAGCGTAGAACGAACGTCGCTTTTTCCCGTAAAGTCGCCGCAATTCCCTTCAATAGGTCCACTGTCTTTGGAACTGACCTTCACGCGAATTTGTATCTCTCTATCATCGTCCCCGTTGTTCAAAGTTTCGGCGTAAATAGCTGGATTAATGAATCGAATTTCTGCATCGGATCTAGAGCTCGTAGGGGCCGCAGAGTTGAGAATTAATCCGTTGCTTCGCGAACTTCCTTTCTGACTATCGTCGGACGTTAAACGATTTAAATGACTGGAACCAGTCAATCGTGCATCGTTCGTGGCATTAACGCCCCTTCCGCGGTGCGATTTATTGAAATCATCCTGTTTCCAATTGTACCAGCTGTCAGCGTCGCTGTCAACCATCGTCAAGTGCCCTTAACCTTGGTCCGGTAATATGCGATCAGAGATTACAAACAGACAAAAGTACGTCGAATTTTCAGAACGCGTCACATATCGTTGGCTTGCGATGCGTTTTCCAATTAGTCCTCAGGAGCCCGGAGGGAACTCGGGAATGTACATTCGTCCATGATCCGCGCGATGTTGTACTTTTCGTATGCAAACAATGACGAATCCCTTAAATGACGTTGAATCGGGATTACGCGTCAACGTTGTATCGGTTAGCAGATTGTCCTAAAGCGTTATCGCACGATTCCGCGTTCGGATTTTGAGATTGACGGGGCTGTCGCCGACAACCGGAAGGAATACCCTCCATTAAGCGACTCTTAATGACACTAACGCGACTGAGATTCGACAGTGGCTTTGCTTTGTGCAATTTTGGCAATCGACCGGCAACGAAAACAGATCACGCTCGACGTTTTTCGATATTTTACGCAGGACCGGAAAAAATGCGATTTATTAAAATAACAAACAATATACAAGTAAAGGAAGTTTTATATTTAATAAAACAAGATAGTTTATTTAAGCTAAAGTCTTTATTTATTTTTCAATTTATTATGTACCCTTATAGTAACTTGTGCTTGATCGACGTATCACTTAACTCTTGATTCAAAATGAATTGAGATCTTAAGAGGAATTAGCGTTCAGTTGATATGAAGTTTCTTAAATTCGACTCGGTTGCATTGTTCTGTCTAGTAATCGTAAGATACTCTTCCGTGATCTCCTCCGGTTGTATCTTATTGAAGTATGTTTCCCGCTCTTGATGCACGTAATATGTGTCATCAAAATTAAAGTGCAGCCCGAGTATGATATTTAGTGCAGACGTGTCGTACGCGTGACATCCGGAATACCGGTATTGCGGTTTCTTATTAAATCGGCAACCCGCCGATTGAGCTCCTGCAATAACAGACGATAATTATTTACGATAATATATGACACAAATATTTTGATAAATAACGTGTAAATAAAATTATTTTTAGCATACCTACCAATTGGACAAATGCAGTCTCTCGTTAAAGCGCACTGAACCCAAGGCAACATTACTTTCTCTCTAATTTCTTTAATGTTCCTAATTACCAAGTGCGACGCCCGTATCAATGGGAGAAAAAAGAAACTTTCCGCGGAAACGTGAAAATATTCGTACATCTTTGGGTGCGTTAGAGAACTAATGGCATGCCTCGTAGGCCAAGTTAAAATTCCAGATTTTGGTAATAGGTATTTTGAAACATCCGAAGAATTCAAACGTACGTTCGAATCCATGTACAATATATTCCCTAATGTGTTTAAAGCTGTCTGCAATGGGCAAAAAAAATATTCATCAGCTTGTACGGATAATGTTTGTAACATTACAAATATATATTGTTGCTTACCTGAATAACTAAAGGTCTATAAACATGCAGTCTATCGTCTTCGACGTGTGCTGGAAACAGGCTTGTGTCAAAATGAATCACATTACACTTTGTAAAGTTGCAAGTTGCTCTAATATTTTGCAAAGAGTCATCATTTAATCCAACACTATAAATAACAATACTATTATTTGGCAAAAAGTGACTGACATTTCTGACAAAGCCATAAATGTGCTGTTCATTCCCAGGCCTTATGAGAGAGACAACAGTCAAATTTTGAGATTTAAGACTAAAAGGAATTGTGCTTGTTTGGCCATCAAGGCCAAGCATTGCAAGATACTTTGAGTCTGTTACTAAGCGTTTTTCTTCAACATCTTTTAAGTTTTCCTGTTAAAATATTAAAGATTATGGAAAAATAACTATTAGCACGTACGTTACCGATAAAATCAGTTGAACTCGTATGGTGTAAATATAGTTACTTGGAAGTTTCGTAATTGCTTGTTGGTCTCTGTAACCAGAGTCTGAATGGAGGGTCTTTGATTGCTGAAAGCAATAAAAATGATGCTGCTCCCTGCTATGCAGATAAGGAACAGTAGCAGGCCCTTGGTACGCATCTCTCATCATTTAATCAGATGTTTTTTCAATTTTTAGGTGACAACTACGTTCGGACGTTACGTTAGAAATGTTACACCTAGGTTATACATTGTCCGTGACATGACTAATCGTTATAACTTTATTAATGTTATAACTAGAGTGCGTTGGTGTCAGGTAAACATTGAAAAAATATATTAGTCATAGTTCGTTTGGCAAGCCCATCTTATAGACGAATCACTCTAAAACCTTACAGCTGATTAGATTAAACTGTTCTTTTTCTGATAACAAAGCACTATCAGTGCTCTAGCAGACGCCGCATTTGTAGGAACTTTCTGGTTAAATGGTAACTCTGCAATTGCAGAATCATACCTTAAGCTTTATTTCCAATTCGCAATACCATTTATACATATACGTGTAAATGATGTAAGTTTATAATTAGACTAATGGTAATTACAGCCTCGAGCACTATCCTCCAAAGGGCCTGATTTTTTCAAATAATAAAATAACTGTTTACAAATACTTCAAGAAGCAATTATTTTTCATTTGCTAATGTTTTTTAAACAAATTAAATCATTTATATGCTTATAAATTACTTACAAACGCCTTAATTCCGCCTTGGGTAAATTACGCACACCTGACCTCTCTTTTACACGATTTCACATTCAGTTTCCACCAACACAATTTATTTAAAGTTTACATGAATTATAACTGATACTATGTCTGATGAGGAAGAAGCCTTAAACAATTCTAATAAACACAATAATGATAACGAAGAAAATTATCCACTGTTAGTTTCATTAAAGAGGATCCAAGTGTTAAACGAGTTACAAATTTTCAAATAGATCCAAGAGTTTATGTGATTCGTTACAAAAAATTATTAAAACAATAAGTAAAACAGGCGTTATCACAATTGATACAAAGTACAAGAGATACTTCGGACGATGAAATTGATTTCTATCTAGTAAGATAACGAATTTGTTGTAACTGTATTGTAAAAAGTAATGCTGAATAATGTCGATTGTTGACAAGATATTACAGAAGAATCAGGTGTAATTATATACTGTATAATTTTGATTAAACTTATCTACAGACTTTATGCGTTAAGTCTGTTCCGCATAGAATATATTTTATTACGCAAAATCTATTAATACTAGTACTGTACAATAATTTGATCAAACACTTAATCACACAGATTTCTGCCGTATGAGGGGAAATTACCAAATAGTAAAAATTTAATGCTGGTGATATTCCCCTCAAAATGGTGAGTATCAGAATCAAGAGAATAAATTTCACCGCTTGTCGCACTGTACTATAAACATGATGTAACTGAATTCAAGTAAAACGTAATACAAATCCTACAGTAAGGATTGGATATAATGGATAAATAATTTTACATGACGTTGGCATATTTTGACGTTTGCAATCTATTAATAAACTGTGTTAAATGCAAAGATAATTACGTAGCTTGTGACGAAACGAATGTTTCTCTTTCACAAACAAGTTTACCTTGCGCAAATTGCTTTCAATCTACTAGTATTTATCCTTTTTCGTCACGTTTTAACTTTTTTCTTATAATTAATATTTTATAAGATTCTATACGTTTTGTATTCCTATAATCTTGACATATAACTAGTTTAACTGATGCTATTAATGCACAAGTCAAACAATATCGATCGCAAGAGGAACTGGTGGCTAGTTACATTCTTTTGTGAAACAAATGCATGTCACCAAAATTCTAAAGAATAAAGCATACTGGAAATATTGATGTTCTTGTTGATGTCAATTCTTCTTCCCTGTGCATAGTGTCGATTTTTTCTTATCCTTTAATGGCTAAACAAAAAATAACAATTTCAATTAATTACATGGCAGAGTATGTACGAGATTAAGTTGGAATAGGGAAGGGTCTTGAAATCCATATAAAGCATAATAATACTCATATGTTTATTTGATATAAATCATACTTTATTGATAGTTTTTAATGGTATATCATTGACAATACACACAGATGTATTACTTGGAAAATATTGCTAGTTCTGGATATACTGAAGACATTTTGTACTGCCTGAATTAACTGATAGTAAGTTGTTTTAGTTTTATTTTATTGCATGTAAAGTGGATGTTTAATGAAACTATGCACACAGAATAAATGTAACTACTTTTTACTGTAAGAATAATCTTTTTATGGTAATGTCGTGTTATGAAACATGAGATGCATAATAATTTTCACTCATACCTAAGGTGTTACAATTTATTTCTATCCTATATTACAGTTAAATTTACTAATGATACAGTAATGGGCTAAAAATGAAGCTTTATAAGTTGATAGTACATCAAAAAACCTTTAGTGAGGAAGATCTGATAATTAATCCAAAAGATCACCCAGGTATAAAAACAGGAGATGTTGTTGAGATCTATCATCCAGAAGTTGAATTCAGTCGTCTGCTGCTACAAGTCACGTCCTTTAAAGATGATTTACAAGGACGGGAGACAATTAGTGTGGAAAATAATGTAGCAACTATGTTTCAACTAAGAACATTTGGGGATGTCTACATGAATGTTGTAAATCCAGATGATGTTGCTTTAGATTCTGTTGAACTCACTTTTAAAGATCAATATTTAGGACGTAGTGAAATGTGGCGTCTAAAAAATGGCTTGGTAGAATATCTTCTTTATTTCTAGATATAAATTTAGATATTTTCAGTACTATCATTTATGTACATGAAATAATTTTCCATCAGGTTAACACTTGCGTATATATGAATAAGAAAATTGAGTTCTGTGGTGGTAGCATAAGGTGTCAAGTATATGAAATGTGGTCACAGGGTGATCGTGTTGCCTGTGGTGTTATAAATAATGATACTAAGGTTAGCATTTAAACATAATACGTGTTGTCAGAGTATGTGTAAAATACTTGTTTTTAAAGTTATGGCTTTTAGGTTGTATTTCGTTCTTCTACAAGTATGGTATATCTTTTCATTCAAATGAGTTCAGAAATGTGGGACTTTGACATTCATGGTGACCTATACTTTGAAAAAGCAGTTAATGGATTTTTGGCAGATTTATTTCAAAAATGGAAAAAAAATAGCAGCAATCATGAAGTGACAATAGTTCTGTTTTCAAGAACATTTTATAATGCTACTAGTTTGGAAGAATTCCCAAATCATATGCGTGAATGCTTGCAACATGACTACAGGGGAAGGTTTTATGAAGATTTCTACAGAGTAGTAATACAAAATGAAAGATTTGAAGATTGGAGCAATGTATTGGTACAATTACGTAAACTGTTTACAGATTATCAAAAAATTGTATTAGAATATCATCAAAAACCAGGCATTACAATACCAAAAGCAATGAATTCAACTGCAGCACAGGGCAATTTTTTAGAAGTTCTAAACATGTCTTTAAATGGTAATAATTATTCTAATATGCACTGTTAAATACATTAAGAAATATTCTTAATCTGATTCTCTTGCAGTATTTGAGAAACATTATTTAGATCGTAGTTTTGATAGAACTGGTCAATTATCAGTGGTGATTACACCTGGTGTAGGTGTATTTGAAGTTGATAGGGAGTTAACAAATGTTACAAAACAAAGAATTATTGACAATGGAGTTGGCAATGATTTGGTATGTGTTGGAGAACAACCATTACATGCAGTGCCCTTGTTAAAGGTATTTTCAATACATTGGAAGTACTAAATTATGAGTATAATAATATTTTAATACATGCTAATATTTGATGTGATTTTAGTTTCACAATAAAGATACATCTATAAATGCTCCAGATGACTATAGTATGCCACACTGGATTAATCTTAGTTTTTATTCTACAAATAAAAAAATTCCTTATTCAACATTTATACCTCGCATAAAACTTCCTCAAAGGGTATCAAAACAACCAATAGAAAATGGAAAATTGCAATGCAAAAATAAACTTTTACAAGAAGACTCGCGAGAATGTTTACATAATACTTTGTTTGATTATGATGCATATGATGCAAAAGTTTTTCAACTACCGTCGGTTCATACTTCCAGGTATACTATAAATGCATACTATGTTACTAACACTTCAGAAGCAAATATTGTAGTTTATAATTTTATATAAGAAGCCTGCAACGAGTTACAACAAGGGCTAAGAAAACAAGTGTTGCAAGCATGGAGACACATAATAATGCACAAATATTGAAACTCCTAAAACGAAAAATGTCGGATCCCGATATTCATCATCCACCGCCTGACTTACATTCACCTCCAGCAGCCGCAATAAGAAGCGCGGCAATATCAATACCGCATAGAGTGGATGACGTTGCTAGCAGCGAATCTAATGGAGAAGTTAATGGCATGTATTTGTACCATTTCAGTAGTATATGTATGTACGAATAGAATTCCGAAAAATAATATTAATAATTTCGTATTAAATAGAATCAAGAATATCAGTGAAGAGTGATTTAACAGATTCAGAAATATCGCCACCATTTAGACCGGTTGTTGGTAGTGCTGGGAGCCCAACAAATACAATATCTCAACCAACAAGTATCATTAGACCCAGCAGGGCGCTCATTAATCCTTTTGATCCATCTCACGTTACAATTAAACTTACTAGTAACAGACGAAGATGGACACATATTTTTCCTAAAGGTAAAAACTTGTGGAAAATTGTGTTAATATTCAATCGAACCTAGTTAATTTTACAGGACCAACAGGTGTACTTATACAGCAACATCATTATCAAGCAGTTCCAACACAAACGTGTTCACAATTACAATCTGATGCTACTTCTGCTATAAGTGGATTTCCTATGGAGCATAATGAAATCTCGAACTTAAATCAATTCCAAGATCGTAAGTATAACATATTAGTTATATGTATAAACTATATATTATTATTATATAATAATGCAATTGTGTTTATTCGTAGACACCAAACATAAATTACAAAGACTAAATCTGTCGCTATCAAGTGGTGATAAAAGTGGAAACCTAATGTCTTCTACAGGAAATAAGTCTTTGACACTATTATGGGGTGCTACTGGTGAACAAGAATGGACACCAGCACTCACAACAGGTTCGCATACGTTTACCCAATAAAAATATTATAGGGAAAATAGATTACATAACTACTGGCAAAGAATATTTGATAACATATCCAAATAACAATAATAGCCACATTGTTATTCATAAATTATCATAAAATGAGTTTACAGTTTGAAGAACAAATTTTGAAACATATAGTCATTTTTACAATGCATAATATTAATTGTACATTATATATGAAGTGTAATGTTTTTCGGCTATTGTAGAAGAACTGTAAAAGCGTAGGAGAATCGTAGGTGTAATATTACAAATATTTCGATTAAAGTATATCGATATACGATCGATTGTGAATAGAAAATATGCTTTTAAATTAAGTTATTCAATCACGATTAATACCGAGAAAATATACATTTCTCTTTTTTTTAATATAATTTTTTAAAGAATGAAAATAGTTGGTGTATACTTAAAAAAAAAAATTGTTTTTCATATAGAGTAAATGAAAGTTTGGCACGCAATCACACAAAATCCATCATGCATAAGAAGTATTTTCATTCTTAGATATGCTCATATTTATTTTTTAATTTCATCGATCATTTATATAAATAATATTAAATTTATTTCCATGCTATGGTACGTCTTATTGGGATGCAACGCTGGACGCATTGACGCGTGTGTGATGTACAACTATGATGTCACATTAAACAGCAATCATAGGTTAGCGCCATACGTTATTGGTGGTTGATTCGGTTATGGTACACATTTATTTTTAGGACAGTAAATTTATAGTAATTTTAGTTCTTTATTTCTCTAGTTTTTATTATTCTTCTATGCATGTATGTTCTCTGTTAGAAAAAAATAATTTTAATTCCAAAGTAATTTCTACAAGTAGTACTTAGTAATCTGTTAAAGACTTAACAGTATTACGATTATGTATACACCTACTTCAAACTTTCGTTATTTTCTATTTCTACTTATTTCATAACTTTGCACCGTTTAAAATATATTCGTTTTTA